TAGGAAGTAATAGAATGTAATCAATTAGAATGTAATCATTAGAGTGAAATGATTATTTGAATGAGACCTGACAGATTTTATTTTAATTGAGCTTATACTATATTGTAGGAATAACTCTCAAAAAAGAAACGACAACTCTGAGTTGAAATTTACAAGACATGTTTCGACATTGTCATGTCATCTTCAGTTGCAAATGAGCTTTTAACGTTTGTACATTTGAATTTATATTAAGGTACGTTACAAATTACGGGTCAGGGTTTACGTTACAATTTGAATGTTAAATACGCGAAGAATGTAAATAGCGCGCGCTTAACTAGATTTAAAAAAAATTATAATAGTAATAAAAAAAAAGACCGAGGAACAACATAATTAAAAGGAAAGAGATAATTCTAGTTGCTTCAGTTGCTGATTAAGAATTGGTTTTTCCCACTTAATATGCAATGCCTCTTTGATCTTAATTTGGTATTTTGAAGCGGCAGAATCTAAGATCGTGAAACATTCAGTATCGCAAGAGTCAAGACAGGCCCATGATGATTGCAAGTGTTTGTGAATATGCGAAGTTTTGAACGACAAGAGGTGTTTACGATCTCGTGTACAAATGTGGCGAGTGGTCTCACCAATATAACTGACATTACAGCCAGCACACGAAAATTTATTAACGACACGCGAACGTAGACCTAGCGGTACTGAATCTTTCACACTGAACATGTTTCTGAGTTTAAACGTACTGAAGACTAACTTAACATCTAATCAGCTATACAATGACGTTTTAGTAGTTTTCTTAACTTAGTCTGAGCGATATTTTGAAAAGCGACCAACATGGAGTTTATAATAGTGCGAAGAAGGTTTACCGAAGTTAGAAGCGCTCTGCCCAGTAGAAGGATATATGTTTCTTAGCTAGATACCTGTAAATGATCTAGTCTATGACCCAAGATGGAAAACTATTTTTATGTAGCAAGAAACTAGGAATAGAATAGGAATAGAATTTTAACAAATGCATAATAATAATAATAATAATAAAGTTTTAGTATTGCATTAGAACAGTATTATCATTATTATTAGCATTTTCTTCAGTATTATGAGGAGTAAGTTTTACAGCTTGTACATGTTGCCTGAATATTAAGACACTTTCGCTGCTTTTTCATTTCTTTTAACAGTCTGCAGATCTCATTTCAGACATTAATGAATGTGTTCAAAACAACGGTTGTAGCGAGAATGCCAACTGTACAAATACCGAGGGATCTTACAACTGCTCTTGTAATCCTGGATTCAGCGGGGATGGACATAAATGTGAAGGTAATATGCTGCAGACCACGATCTTATTAGACAGATACAATCCATCGGTATTCCTTTCTCCTTAAGAACGCCCCTGAACAGGACAGAGCTGAATAACATATACACATGCGCTGGGTTTTGCCGCAGAAACACGGTTTTTGAGTCGTTCGCATGGTTGGTTTCCTATTCTGTTGCTTCGAGGCGTCGTTTTCCTCGCCACTTTTCGTTTACAGAACAACCTCCAAAAACTTGGTACACTCCCTAAAACTTTTCAAAAATTAATATTCTCCTTAAAAACTCTGGAAAGAGGAAAGTGCCTTCCACGAAAACAAGGTTCCTCGGTTTTAAAAGTCAGCCCTTATTATTTTCCGCTGATTTCGCTAAATTTTAGACCTAGGACAC